TTTTATAAATATATAGCAATGAAAAATTGATTAATATTTTCCACGAGCGTGAGACAAAACGCGGCGTTGATGACACGATCCTGGCAGCGTGACAGATGAGCAGTTCCTAAGGAATTAATTAATGGTGACGTGGCTCCGGATTCCTTTCATTCTTAATTTTTAAAGCTTATAATGAGATTGCCCTTTGGAACCAGACTCGAATGGACCTTTCCATCCAAGAATTGCCTTCTAAAAACTAGTCTTCTTCGATTCAACTTTTACAGTGTTTGGATTTTAAATAAATACTCTAAACAATTGAAATAGTCGACAACATTTATTTTGCCAGTAAAATAATTTCAGATATGACTGACACTGACACTGTTTTCAAGTCCTGAATGCGAATAAATTGCAGAAGTAAAATACATCAGAAACATATATTTATATATAGATTTAACAATTTGATATTTCCTTTGTACATAACCGTAAATATTAATTGTGACAATCAATATTTTTATATGATCTTAATTACTTTTATCCGTCTTCATTTTTTCTTCGATTGTATAAACCTTAATTACCCATAAACAGAAATTGTTTCATATAATACTTAAGATCAGTCACTTCAAATAAATTATAAATTATACGTTTCATGGAAAATTTTTAAATACAGAAGTTNAGGAAAAAGTGTTTCATCCATCATTGTACCGTAAAAAATAAAAGAAAGAATAAACGTCCGAGCATCAGAACTCAACCATTTAAAAACGCGACACCTGGCGGAAAGAATTAATTAGGCATACCACCAAATGAGATACGCCTCGTGCGGTTATTAATTCTTTTTCGCGATCTTGAGAAGAGATTAGAGACTCAAATAGTAGTGCGAGTTTCTAATAACATGCAAATATCTAGTAGGATTTTTACAGTTATTTATATTTAAATTATATTTACAGTTATTTTTATAGTTATTTTTACAGTTGTTTGAATTTTGCTTTACTTTTTCTCAAGATGTCTGGATAGAAAAATTTTGACCAAAAAGGATAACATCATTTTCAAAAGGAAGTTTAGATCATTTTGCTTTCCTTCTTTTCAATTTTCAAAATAGACAAACTTTGACTAAAACGAAAACGCCATCTTTAAGAATGTTTAGAACAATTTAACTTTTACATATTCTCAATTTTCAAGATGGAGATACTTTGACAACAAATGATAACATCATTTGCAAGATAGTTTAGAACGTTTTGCTTTCTCTTTTTCACATTTTCAAGGTAGATAAATTTTCATCAATAGGATAACATGATTTTTAAGAAACTTAGAATATGGAAGAATTGTATTAAACACATCTCATCGTTATTAATCTATGGTATACTTTCTAGACGAAAAGAGATTTCTTGACGCGAATGATTTTATAAATATATAGCAATGAAAAATTGATTAATATTTTCCACGAGCGTGAGACAAAACGCGGCGTTGATGACACGATCCTGGCAGCGTGACAGATGAGCAGTTCCTAAGGAATTAATTAATGGTGACGTGGCTCCGGATTCCTTTCATTCTTAATTTTTAAAGCTTATAATGAGATTGCCCTTTGGAACCAGACTCGAATGGACCTTTCCATCCAAGAATTGCCTTCTAAAAACTAGTCTTCTTCGATTCAACTTTTACAGTGTTTGGATTTTAAATAAATACTCTAAACAATTGAAATAGTCGACAACATTTATTTTGCCAGTAAAATAATTTCAGATATGACTGACACTGACACTGTTTTCAAGTCCTGAATGCGAATAAATTGCAGAAGTAAAATACATCAGAAACATATATTTATATATAGATTTAACAATTTGATATTTCCTTTGTACATAACCGTAAATATTAATTGTGACAATCAATATTTTTATATGATCTTAATTACTTTTATCCGTCTTCATTTTTTCTTCGATTGTATAAACCTTAATTACCCATAAACAGAAATTGTTTCATATAATACTTAAGATCAGTCACTTCAAATAAATTATAAATTATACGTTTCATGGAAAATTTTTAAATACAGAAGTTCCATGGTTATGTATAAAGTTTCATGTATTTAACAATGTTTCATAAAACACATAATTTAGAAGTTATTCGAGATGTGCAAGATTACGATAAAATCAAAATCATTATTTCTCCTCCTTTTTTTTAGCCTGCCAAAGTTAAAAGATACAAACAAAAATCGATATTTCAACTTTCAAATGCTACCATCTTTTTTAATTATCAATTCTTTTCTTCCCTTGTGACAGCCAAACGCATCCTGATTAAGAATCTTCCTTGCTTGCTTTCGTTTCGGACAGATAGAACGGCCGGAATCATGGCAACCATAAGGGCATCTTGTTAAGACACGAGTTCTTACAAGGCAATGTACTACCACCAATTTGTAATGTGTAAATTTATAATGCAAACACTTGTAGATATTGTTGAAAGAGTAACAAATGTACAGGGTTTCTTGTAACTGGTCGTATAACCGGTCAGCAGTCGATCCTTCGTCAAAAAAATAAGTCGAAAAAAATAACATGTTTTCATTCTAGGCTCCGTTTTCGAGAAAACTCGGTTGAAAGATGTGTCAAGTTCGCGTGGCTTGTAGTATCGCGAGAAGTAGAATTATGGGGTCATGACTGGACCCGCCATTTGATTCCTGCCCAATAGTATTATTTTATGAACTTCATTTTTCTAGAATTCGGAACCTCAATGTAATTCCTTTTCTTTTCGTACCACCATGCACAGTTTCTTATAAAAAAAAAAATACCAGAGAAACGCGCTCTGGACTTAAATAACCCCCTAAGTACGATTAGAAATTAAATAGAATGCGTCTTGGAGATTTGTGTGGTGAAATCCGCGTCCAGAACAAGAGAAAACCTTTGGCAGCCGTTCAAACTGGGACCATATTCTCGGTATCCGTGCAAAACTTCTCACATTCCTCGCAAGCTGCGGTTACGCCATAATAATTTACAAATTGCGTGATCGTTGCATCACGATACACCGGCAAGGGACACCTTCAAGAGAGCCGCATTCCTATATGCACCGCAAGTGCTCCGCTCCTTCGACATGTAGAAGACCACGCGAGATAAGTCAGAGATACATGTTTGACGCTTCAGAAATGCTTGTCGGGATGAAATTTCTGGCCAAGGTAAATCGCGGATTCTGAGTCGGTTTCGTGAAATCACGGAACGTTACACACCTCCGGAGAAAAACGAACATCGACCTAACTGTACCTGTTTCGAAGGGACTTCCTAGAGACCGACGATTACGTCGCGACAATTTAAGAATCCATGGACCGTGGTTAATAAGTTCGAACAATTGCTAATACCAGCCGCGTAGCAGTCGTTAGATTTATTCTCGGATAATCAAATGTTTGTCAGCCTAACTGTGTAATCCTGTGACGTTTATTTATCTTCTTAGTTATAGAGGATTTGATTTTCTTAGAGGCAATAAATCACGCTTCCATTCTATCTGCACTTTGCAATCAGCATCTGGCAAAATCTGTCTAACATACGAAATCATGACGCCTCTCTTAATCTTTTCCACCGCTGTAATATCCGTATACGATCAATAACCGTAATTTCATTGTCATTGGAATTGTTTCCGGTGTTGGATACAATGGTATGATATCTCGTACGGTCTCTTACACTCTTACTGTATTTTTATTCGCGCGTTAATACGGATACATCGTATCGGACTTGAAATGCGGTTGAACGTTACTAATATGTAAGGTTGCTTTAACCTTTTTATCCCATGACCGTTTCTGATTGCCAAAAGGGCAATAAGTGTTTCACAGATGCGTTACTTCGCGCTAATCCAACGCGTTTGACCGTATACTACTATTATCAATCGGTAATAATGACAGCTAGTAGTATAGCGACATGCTGGACAGCTTTTATTTAAAAGTGGTTCGAAGTCACATTTGCAAAAATTTCGTTTTTACACGCATAAAATCACGATTTCTCATAATTTTCGTATCACAGGCTTTCAGTTTATAGTGCAAAGTGATCGTTTTGTATGAACAAGTTGCAAATTCTTATATTTTTATTCACGTTATTGAGCATTGGAGTGTCTCAGCGATTTTTGAAACGTGTACAGTGACTCCCATTAATAGTCAGACACTTTGTAAAACACAATAACTTTTTTAAAACTAGAATAAACGATTATGAATTTGTTTTAGATGGTAGAGGGACTAGTATACTAGACAATGACTAAACTACTTCGTTACAATTTTGTTTTTACTTGGAATGACAAAACAAAATAAAAGACTCTCATTTTTTAACTTTTTTATCCAAGTCCATAACAAAAATTTAAAAAATGCCTTTCGTAGATCTCGGTAACTTACATGAGTGCTGAAAATTTGATCGACTCTGTTAATCCAGAGTCGATTTAAAAGATTTAGAAATTTTGACATTTATACATATATTCTACTTTAATATACCGTAAAGGATGTTTTCCCCTCAATGTGTATTTATTTAAATATATCGCGTAGAAGTCAAACTTATACTACTCTTATATACTTATGTACTGTATTGTTACGTACTTATATACTGTTCGAATATTTTTTATATTATTATATTGCTATATACATTGCTTTCGACTTACTGCAATGACTAACAATAAGGAAAGAGAAACGTTCCTATTAATTCCTATTCAGCATAAAGATCCCCTCGGTCCAACGATTATGCTTGACATTCTTCTTGTATTTCATCAGCAGAATTGTGTCTAAATCATTCACGGGAACCCTGGTTTTTTGAGCGATAGCTCCAGTAGTACGTGGACTCTGGTACGCGTACACGAAAGCAGCATATTTTCGCTTGTGAAAGTAATTGATTATTCGTACTTGAAACAAGTGGAAGAACCATTGGTTCAATCGAGGGTATACAGTTATCTCCGTTCCCGAATCGCGAGTGTTTGGCATCGAGAGAGTTCGATCCGGTTCGAAGCGACAGTTTCGCCCGCGAATTAATCGATCACTGACCGGTTAATTGGCAGCGACAGATTCGATCGCAAATTACCTCGGTGTTTCTCGGGCTCATGTTCGACGATGAAGGCAGGGACAGCGGTGACCATTTGGTAATCGGCATCGGCGACGTCCTGCTCCTGCTCCGGTTTGGCGGCGAGCAACGCTTGCATCGCGCTCGCGTCGCCGCAGCTTCTCCTGCTGTACTTCGTCCTCGAAACCCTCAGTAGGGCGGCAGGGCTGATGTTCTGACAGTTCTCCCGCGACGGCGACGTCGACGTCGACGTCCCCGGCGGCTCGTCCAGAGTCGACGGGCTGGATAACGAAAGGGCGACGTCGTCGGCGCTATGACGCCGAGACTTTGATAGCCGTTTAAACATCGTTCCGTCTGCAATCAAATCGGATTACACAATATTAGCGACAGCCTTGTCGTTGGAGATCCATTCGTGTATCCCGCCAAATACAACGCGTTGTAATACAATTTTAAGAAGGCGTTGCACACCGCGCAGTGCTTCGCGTACGTGGACATTCAGAGCAAATAGTCATAACTTCTAAACTGAAACATTTTTGACCTGACACACCTAATATTTTTTTTATGGAGAATACATAAGTGCATCGACTGATGCATTTATCCGAACTACACTTATTAGAACCAACGACGTCACATATAATCGATTTATTGAACATATTACTGAGCTTTTAATATGGGAACTCGGGTCTCGCGTCGATGAATTAGCTCTTCACGATGATTTTAGCTATTTTAAGACGCTATTTTCTATAGGTCGTTGAATTCGTCTTGATGTCAGCTATAACATTATTAAATAAAAAAGATATAGTAACGATTAAAAAATCCAGGTAACTTTAATTTTTTACTTAAAACAAGTTTTTTATTTGATTTTTTTTATATCGATGTTTATATAAGATTGAGTACCAATTAACTTTTGTTCGAAACATTTTTTGGTGAAAGCAAAGAATAATAAATGATGTTTGTAAATTTTTATTTTACCAATAGTACATTTCTCGCACTTAAAAATGCTGTTGTCAATAAAACCGCTGCCCGCATAGGTATGCATTATTTATTAAAAGCGAATATAAGAAAGAAAAATCAAATATATTTACATTAAATTACAATATAATCCTCCACCTGTATGACAGAGCAAACAAAATATTATCATACATGAGCAACGCGTGAAAACAAACTGGGCGCGTATCTTACAGTAGCGTAATAACATTTGAGTGAGGGTACTTTAGGATGTTAGAATACGTTACAAAGAAAAAGTGGCGATTTTTGGAACTGCTATTTCATAATAACAATGTCGATCATAATTTCCCGGTGATCACTATTATCCCATTCTCCACTACTCGTCAAAAACAATGAACAGGACAATATTATACCTTATGGTATTTTTGAATTCTACTGCTTCGGAGAGATACGCGCTTTCCTGTCGAATTTTCCGTTTACGTTTCCATGTTTTTCAGAAGCATTTCGCATCGAATTCGTCGCGTCGCGTCCCGCATGACGCGCGGACAGACGCGATAGCGTCCTGCCGGATAAATTTCATCGTTGCAGCTCTTCTTGGTCAGTGATTTATGTCGAGTTCATCGCTGCCCCTTCGAACCGCAAAAAGCCAAGAGGTATCGGCTGCGTGAACCGTCCAGGAGGATTGAACGGTAAATCGTACTTGGAAACTTGTGGATCGAAGCGCAGATTGGGCTGCTACGTTGCAACGAATACGGAGGGCATCTGCGTTCGCGTTTTTCTGCCGGACGCCGCGGTTTTTAGAGTCGAGCTAAATTTCAAGGCGCATCTCCAAGCACCTCTCCTTCACCTGGTACACATTCCGAACCGAAGAATTTGACCCGCAATCGAAGCACGATGAACGTGACCGTTAGTTGGATCGGAAACGAGACAAAAATCGAACTGTATTTAGGGTTATGTTAAGGTTCCCGAGGGCTAATTGTGTCCCCGTTCCTCGAGCATAACAAGTCCAAGCACGAACTCGCGTTTCTTTTCATTTCCCTTGTTACAAAATTATCGTCTCCTTATTTACTGTACCGTATGGGACCCGTTGAAATCATCGACAATTACTTCACCGACCGTGTTTTCCACGATACGTTTTCCACCGACACATTTGGATGTCCGACAATTATTTTATCGACACCGCGTTTCGCCAACAACGTTTATATCCACGCCGGACACCTCTACTACATACTGTGACGAGTGTCGTGTTACGTTACGCATTAAGTATATATCTATTATATAATAAAGTTGACCCTTCGCACTCGAAGCCATTTTAACTCTAAATCCAGAACGGTCTTTCTGATCTACGGTATTTTCATTTTATATGACTTGTTGCATTTTGTGAATATGAAATTGATTCTTGCGACTCGTACAACAGTTACACTTTTAAAAGCTTTTCAAATATAAATAAATACGACGATGTATAATTTATACCGCTATAATAGCCACAATGATAGCCACTACAATGGCCAAGTTTATATTTCGTAATTTCCACGGTTAATTGTAACAATGCTTGTCCTTCAAGCCGCGCCGCCCGAAGCTCAGCCACGAACTTATTGTTTCAATATCATCGAACTGAATCAGAATAAAAAGTGACGCCATCTGATTTACGAGAGAGAGACCATTTAACAGGATGACGGCACGGAGGGGAGCTAAAACTTTTTCTTGGATCATTTGCTTGTTCCGCACCAGTCGTTTCTCCGGCCCGACGTGTGCACCCGTACAAGCTTCGTCATAAAGGTAAGAGCAAGAACCTATTCAATGAACTTCGAAGGTCGTGTCGAATGCAACGACCCGAATGCCGTATCGGCATAGAACCGCACAACCGGCGATCGTAGAAACATTAATGTTTCGTCGTTGCATGCCACTCTAATTAGACTATCGTAAACGTTAGGATTGAAAGAGGGTCGAAGACGGTTCACCGAGATCACGGTTACCGCGCTTACTCGTGCAACGCTAATGTGTTTCTTCACGGATAACTGGAATATTTTTCATTTTTTCATCGGTTCCGTATTTACGGGGTACTATTTACAATAAAATCAATAAGCACGTTTGCTAGACGTATCCTGATGATATTCTCATTACTTATTTTTTATTTTCAGAACAGATTTACTTAAAATGCAGTACTATAAATACACTCGCAAGGGGAGGCCGCATCCGTAGGATCGCCGATTTTAATAAAACGAATTATTAATCCGAATTATTAATTACCTACAACGTATCCTATTTGGATAATCAGATTTTTTTACAAATTAGTAATCCTGTTTTAATATTAGTATTTATGAAACAATGATTATTCTGCCAATTTTTGTTATGATTCTAGAGACAGAATAAGCGGACACCTGTTCTAGTTTTTTCGTCAAAGCTCTTTTTTGCGAACATATTTAACAAATAATTTTTGGTTTTCTTTGTATTCTGGGTTTGTTTGAGTTTTCAGGCACTTCTGACAGTTTGATAAAAATATGTTTCCAACAAAAGTTAAATTATTAATACTTACTCAAATATGTATTTAAATATATACATAGTATATATATATGTATATATATAGTATAGTATATTGAAATATATAGACGTATATTGACCTTTAGGTCATTGTACAGTAGGTCGTTGAATTCGTTTTAATTAGGAAACAAAGTTTAATTAAAATCAGTGACCTTGCAGATGTGACCGCTGTAGAAAAAGTCTGAATACACCTTTTAAAACGAATCAACTTTCTTAGAAACGGATCAAACACCTCGATCTTTTTTAGATATTAGCAGGACTAGCTTATTAAACAATGTGTAAAACAAATATTTGCAAAAATTGCAACTGGTTGGAATGATAAAAGATAAGAAAATATCGTCTTTTTTTTACTTTTTTATACGAACTTGTGACAAAGTAGACCTCGGTAACTTATTGGCTGATGCGGAGTCAAAAGCTACATGCACTGAATGTGTCACTTAATAGGCTTAGAATGCAACGACGCGATATGTCGCGACGTTTAAGAAATTGTGCATAAAAATTAAGAATGTTGTTCTTTCTAAAGCCTACAGGAAACCATTAAATTGTTGGAATTTTAGCACGTTTCGATATTAAAAGCATCTTGCCGCTAAAAACGAATAAGTGCATTCGCCACAAATTGCAACCTGGGAGATAGGAAAAATGAAAGATGCGGCAAGAAGAAATTCTCGGTTACCCACCGCATATCTTAAGTATAATGATCGAACTATTATGGTGTACACTGAGATTTTAGCAGACCGTTTTTCTTGCAAACTTTTATCTTTCATAATCCATGATAGTGCATAACGCATTTCTCCGAATTTTTTATACATAATATAATATAATATACTTATATTTTTAAATATATCATATCAAGAAATTTCTAAAATAAGAAGGGAGAAGTTAAACGATTTTGAAAATACACTCTAAACGATTTTAGTGTGTTCAAATTTTTGAATTTTTGACTCACATAATTAACTAAAAGAATGCACACTTTTTATTTCTTTCGTCACTTTAATTTATTGTAATCTTTTAAAACAATTTTTTAGACATTGTCTAGTAATCTAATCCTTCTAACATTTCAAAAATATTTGAGTTACTTGCATTAGATTAGAGAATTTATGAAAACTTAAACATTATTCGATGACTTAAATTATATTGCAACTAATTCCCTGAGATTGCCAGTTACCACAGCAAAATTCGTAACAAAAGGTCTCCTACATCGATCAAAATTAATTACTGATATTACCAAAGAGCTTCAACAGGTGTCTGGTGTTTATGAAGAAATAATGCTAAATAAGTGGTAGAACAACAAAATCCGATATGCATGCACTACCGAAGGACCATACGAAATTGATGCAAGATATTGGAAAAAATACACGTATGCGCCAATTACGTCCTGTGAGGTTGAATGAACATATTTTCAGAATACAAATTAATCTTCAGCGAGAAAAGTCATCAATTTATCGTTGACAACATGGAAAAAGCATAGTTACATATTATAATGCAAATTACAATAAAAAACAAATGAAAATATGTACACAATTTATAATTGGTTTCGTCATTTTGAATTGTATATGTTGCATGTAGTTCCCATATATTTTTGCATACTTTGCATATCAATTTTGCGCAACGAACCGCTGCCTACCAATAAGTATCAGTGCGTTTGAAAATTCACGATACGTTTGATAGTTCGTGTTTATAAAACACGCGAGGCTATTTCCTGATTGACTATTAGAAAAAAAGAAAAGTTGCACGGTGATTCAGCCTATGGAATCACCATGCTTTATAATGTTTTCGAGGTGTCGGTATCAATAGCAATGTCCGACGACAATAGTGGTGAAAACGAGGGAAAAAAACGGTGGTCAAGAACAAGCGGCGCGGCGCGG